CTGTTCCTATTTGCTATGCCCTTGTTTATGCATCTACAGATCAAATTAGCCTTTTAAGTCTCAGGATCAGACTGGGAGCTGATGTTCAGTGGGTTGTGCCTGGATTTCCTTTCAGAGCCACAGCTTCCAGAATACAAGTCTGGCTTCCAGTCCCTGCTCTTAGGTATGTGATTTTGCAGATAGCTACACCAAAAAGTACTTTATTTAAGTAAGCCGAGTTTGCCAGATCTCTGTAGCTGTCTTGCCCTTGTCATTATTTGTCTCTCCACCAATCCTTTACTTCTAGATCATTTATAATTAAGTTGAAGAATATCAGTACTGGCACTGGTCCCAGCTGAAGCCCCTTCTGACCCCTTCCAGAAATACACCCATTCAGTGATTTCTGAAGCACAACTACTAATCAAGATCAGTTTAGGGGAATATCTCTGCAATGCTGGGATTTATTAAAGGTTAGCATCATAAGTATGCCACAAATCTCCTAAGATAATGATTTCAGGAGTAACTTATCTGGCTCTGCCATTTTCATTTTTTGACAAACAGAAAAGGTTGCCTAACTCTACCCTTCCTTAGCAAATAGTCTGAAAACTGAAACAGTATTTTATTGTCTTCATTTGACATGGGTCCATATTCTTTCCAAAAACAAACCAGAAAAAAATTATTGAGCATATCTGCCCTTACACATTCTTATCAGCCTTTTTACCATCACCATTTAGTGACAGTTTCCAGTACCATTACTATGCTTTCTTTTCCTCTCAATATACTTGAAAAAATCCTCCTTACAGTTGTCATGGATTACTCCAGGTTATCCTGGCTTCCTTTGTCATTTCTACTCATTATCAACTCCAATAATATCAATCATTAATTGTTCACAACTTTCTCCATTTCCTTTTATATTGCTTTTTTTAAATTCTAATTCCTACTTTTACTCCACCAGTGAACTGTGGTAGGCTTTCAGCCAAAAGCAGCTATTTCTTGACAGGGAGTCATGACTTTTGAATAAATCTTCTCATAGAAATCCTACTTCCACTCATACCTTTTCCCATCTACATTTTTCTTTCCCTTTGCCTCTGACATACCTCCCCCCTTGCATCAGTTTTTAACAGTGCCCTGTTGGGGTCCCTTAGCTCCATATCAAAGTGATCCGAGTCAGTAATCTGTAACAAACCTCCAGAGTCAAGTTATTGCTTTTCTGAACTGTAGTTTGAAAGCGCCAAAGAACTGAATTCTCCATCCCCTATTTTACTTCCTCCCAAGCTTTCCATTCTACACTAGTACCTTAGGCTTTGTCCCATCCCCTTCCTTTATCCTTGCAGAATGTAGCATTGCCTGATCTGACACCATGGTCATAGTAAAATCATCCTTCCCCCTCCATTTTCACTTTCCCCATCATGCCAATGCCTGAAAAGTGACTATTATTTCATATCTACACACCATTGGGTCATCAAGTGAAAATGCTGCAGGCATGCTAGGAATTATTGCTATTTGCTTTGCCATTCCATTATCTACAAGCATACGTAAAACTGCCACAACTCTAGTTCCTGAAATGCTACAGCCCAGGGTGCCGAACTCCAGAAAGGCCCAGGCTGGCAATCTGCCAGCAGCTGAAAGGCTACATCTAATTGTGCATAAAGTTGAGCAGATTGTCTGCTTAGACTAGAACAAACAAGCTTATCTTTAATGCAGACATATGGCCAGCAAAACCTACAGATCCCAGCATGCAACATTCTAGCCAGCTGGCCATTTGGATCAGAATGAAGCATTACATGATCTGATACTGTGGTGACAGAAGATCAGTATCACAACCCCTCCATGTTCAAAAATCATGAGTCAGGCCACTCAAATTCATGAGTTTGGCTCAGAGAGCTGGCGATTTTAAAGGGGATAAACTAATGGAATTTGCATTTAAGACCGGGTTCATATTCTCCTACTTTTCTCTACAATCATTAAAAAAAATGTGTTTTTTTAACAAAAGCTAAGTTACACAGTCACTTGTCTCTGGGAGCTGAGACACCAAGAAGAAACAGACAGACTCACAGTATGATTAGGGGAGGAGCAGCAACATATTCTGAACTCTTAAAGTGCACAGATAACCTCACAGGTAGACACACAGATAGAACGTGGAACCTGCAATCACCACAGATATCACTGGTAAAGATAAGGTTGGCAGACAGTTTTGTTACAAAACTCCAGGTTTTCCAATCTTGCACTAAACTCTCTGCTTTTACCATTGTTTCCTTTATTCAACCGGTTTAAACTTCCTTTCTTCCCACCTCTCAGCTGTCATATAAAATGTTCTCTCTGCCTCCAACTTTCCATTCTGTACGACACCTCTGCTCTCCTGTGACACACCATACATTTTATGACAGTTACGCCCTTGACAACCATCACAGATGCTCAGTCTCCAAGTAATAAAAAAACCTATTCCAACTGAGTTGTTACTTTTAGACAGGTTAAAATCAGCCCTTAATCTCTCAGTCCTGTTCTTTAGGTCTTTTAAGATGCTAGGGAAATTCTAGCCAATGAAGGCTGGGAGGGAAGCATCACTCAGACGTCGCTCATCTTCAGTCCACTTTTTGTGTATTTGTTGAGGGCAGAGACAATTCTGGCTTCACTCACAATTCTAGATGCAATAGATTTGGGAATTCCTACTTCTGCTCTGACAATAACTGTTCAAGAGAGGATCTAGCCAGGAAAGACAAGAAAAGTTTCAGATGAAAATGAGGGGATTTGCCAGAACTACGTCAGGAAATAGAAAAAGCACTGTCTGCTCTGGGTCAGGACCAACACGCACTAGCAGAGTTGAAAGAAGGTAATCCAAGAACCAAAGCTTGAGTGCCTTGCAGCCAGGAGTGAGTGACTTTGGCAGAGTAATGCTGATAAAATCAGCAGAAAGCCTGTGTCTGCCCTCTGTTCTTTTTTTTCCATTTTCACAAGCAACCAGTACTTTAGGCAACCTGAATGCTTGTTAAAGGGGGGTGGGTTGATCTTTCTTTAATGTCAGAGCTCCTATCTGCATGTGATAGAGTGCAATTAGAAAGGCTACATGCCTTGTGATCCTGTAACCAGTTCCTGTCTTACTTCCTTCACCTGACAAACTCATTCCATCAATCCCCAGGTTCAGTCCAAAAAAGAGCAGGACAATACAGCCAGAGCTGCACAGGTACCGTGATGAATCTTCCCCTCTTCCATTAAGAAGCACTCAGCTGCACTTGAGCTCAGGTAATTTTTGAGAGGTAAGTTTTTCTGAGGAGACCATGATCTGCACTAACAGCAATGACCTCCTGCTAAGGGGGCAAAGGTTCACACTTACACAGACCTCAGGTTGCCACAGGAAGATAAACGTGACAGTGGCACAGCTGAGCCCCGCTTTCTATCTGCCACTGGATAAAATACAGCTACAAGTCAAATTTGATTTAAAGACTTCAACCGTCTTCATGTCTAACATACAGCATGACCTGCCAGTTACCTGGTCCCTTGAACTAGATATGAAACACTGCAGAATGATACCTGTAATCTTTCAAAGGTGCCATTCTCCATCACAACTGAAGGTGACTAAAACCAACTCTGTGATGCAAATTAGCCTTAAGGCTCTTAACGCTTGGTGCCTGTTTTCTAGCGGAAACACAGAAAGCATGGCAGATTTATGTCCTGCTGCCGTGGCTCTGTGGTTTCAGGCCTCACAAAATTAAAAAGTCTCCCTACTGCAAACCCTACGAAAAAAGAGGGAAAAAAAAATGCAAACAGTAGCAATGCCTGAACTACCATATGAAACTGCAGCTAAAATTTTCTTAGGAGGTATCTAGGACCTAACCCCCCTTGCAATACTCCTTTTTGAGTCAAAAGAGCCAACTCAATGAGCCAGTGTATGTAAAAATGTGCAGTCTCTCCAGACTACATCTCTGGAAAACGACAAGGACATTCCAAGTAAGTTGAACAGTGGTTTAGATTTTAGCGCTGTTTATGCTCTGAACAGTCAAAAATGTTCAGAATTCAGGCAGAAGCTCACTAGGTTCATTCTCAGTTCTTTTTTTGCCAAAGGGAAGATTGGGATATATATATAGAGAGAGAGAGAGAGATATGACAAAGTCTGAAAAGCTATTTACAGCAGCGGCAATTCACTGTCCTTCCAGCCAATTCCATCTGGCACAGGATGCCTACTATCCTATCTTGCTACTCCAGGATAGGAATAAAATAGCAAACCTAAGTTCTGACTGTGTCCCAAGAATCTTTCTAGACAGCAGGATGTGGAAACACTTGGCCCAATCTGAAAAATGCAGCAAATCAGCAAATCAGCAAAAAGCAGTTAGAAACAAATAACAAGTCATTTCTATCTCTTTAGAGAAATATCCTGCCAGAGAATCCCTGGAAGAGGCTTTAAATGTATTTTAACAGTTGTCCAGCAGAACCGTAGAGATGTGAACTGAAGCTACATTCCAGTATGCACATCTTCCTTTCTCCTTCCGCAGTGTGTAATCCCGGGAGAGTACAGATTATTCCTCACTACAGCATTTCTAACACAGTTTATCAAAGGAAAGTTTGAATTCAGCCTCTCAGAGTACCAGCTTAGTGTTAATGAGAGCCCATTTAGATAAAGAAGAGCAATACTGGGTGGGACAAGAGGTGTGAAATACGTCAAACCACATAAATTCCCTCTGTAACTGGTGGAGTTCTCTCTCCTGGTAGGGACACCAGCTGTCACAGGCTTTACAGGAGTCAGGAAGGAATATGGCACTTAGGCAGAAAGGGTTACTGCTGATGGGGTCATACCTGTTGTGAGGATGTGACAGCCCTGGTACACTAACATCTTACCACCATAAGCATTTATAATTGCTTAAAAAGGGAATTAAGTACAACACTTACAACATTAACAGATAAAGTTCCTGTACAGATTTGCAGGAGCTTCTCCCAAGCATACCAACTCCACGGTAACCCACACCTTGTCGCCTCAGCGTTTCCCAGGCTACTTAGACTGCCTTCCCTCTTGATTCTGCTACCTTTACCTTGTGGGATATCATGCTCCAGAGAGTCTAGAAAGTCAGTGGATGGGTCCAGATCAGCCTTCTCCAGCAGGGTTTTATTCTTCAGGTTAACAGGCTCAGTAAAATGGAAATAGGAACTTAACTTTTTTGCCTCCGTCAAAGAAAGACCTGTGAACAGCCATTGATGACCATTAATACAGTGAGCTGGGCTAACATACATTATACCATCAAATGTCATATTGTTTCTCTAATGCCCACAGCATAAGACAGAATCACAATCTTTCTCCAATGGACTCCACAGAAGGCCAAAGACTTGCTAGAAATGCGTGGCAGTACTCCCTGATGTTGTGCATTACAGACCATGCTAACTGCAGTCCCAGATAAGCAATGGGCATGAGTTGAGATCAACTCTCTGTGCCCGTTTGGTTACATCCTATCTCTAGATGGAGAATTCACTGCAGCTATAATTGCTAAACACTGACATAAACTATACACAGACAAATGAAACTACAGGTTTAATGAGTCAGAGCCATTACTGACTCTCCTCCCACCTTCCAGAGTTGAATCATGCACCTGAACATTTGTGGCATTGGATTCTCTCCTCCATGTTCATTTTACCCAAGATAAAAATAAACTTGAAATCAAAACATCAGCTAGAGAAAGTCATCTTAATTTACAGCCTTTATGATCAAAGTACAGTTGATCCTGATAAAGACAATGAGAATTTACCTTCAAAGTTTCTGTTTTCACGCACAGACCCAAGAGGAGTCTTCACAAATGCCCCCCGGGGGATGATACCAACTGCTCTGTCTATCTGTTCTATTGTAGCTACAAGGCGGGACTCCTCCTTGATCATGGGCTTTAAAGAAAAATAAGCAAATTTTAAAGGCAGGGCTTTCCTTGTTGTCATTTCTGAAAATAAACTCGAGGTAACAATGGAAACCACAACAGACTCATCAGCTTAGAGCCCAATGGCACTAAGAAGAGGACCACAAATCGGACATTCTTCTCATAAGAAGTGAAGCAGGAGCAGACAGTCTAGATTCACCAGAGAATGAGCTGTCCCTCCCTTCATCCATCATTTCCTCCCTCTCAATTAAGCTACTTATGACTTGTCTATTCAGTTATAAAGAATGGTACCTGCAGTTCCTATGTAAAGCTTCAGACACTGCAGTGAGAATCTGTACCAATTATGCATAATAAAACACAAAGGAGAAAGAATATTTCTAAGCTGTGTCTAACTCTAGGAGTAACGGAAGTAAGAGTTCAATCAAGAAGCCATTGCTATACAATGATAGTGAAGAGGAATTGTATATATTCTGCCTGAGCAGAAGGTCAGGCTGCTTATTACAAACAAGGAGGAGGAGCCACCACCTATCCAGTGTGAGGGGTACAACTCTAGCGAAGAAAGTTCGAAAGTGTTTTGCTCTATTTACCTCCTTACCATCTTCAAACAATCTTTCAGCATCTTCTGCGTTTATCTCAGTGTACCCGTACTCAAAAGAAGGATCCCCCTGGAAACGGCCCTTCAGCTGCTCAGTCTGGGCAACCATCTCCTCGGTCACTGGTGGCAGGAGGCTCCATTCGACGCAGTTCAAGCTGCCAGCGACAAGCACGACACAGGCCCGAGCCCGTTGAAGCACAGGGCTTGATGCAGCCTTGCCAGGCCCCTCAGGGGCACAGCGAGGCTTCCTCCAGAAGAGCTGGGCAGCCCCCTCTGACCTCCCTCTCTTCTCCCCCCAGCCACCAAACCGGCCTCCCCGGTCCCACCTCCCCAGGCAGGTGCCCGTCTGCTGCACGGAGCGGCGGTGAGGCCCGGCCTCCGCACCTGTAGAGGCGGCTGCGGGGAGCGGCACGGTCAGGGCCCAGCCCTTCGGCGATGTAATAGGCGCCGCGCACGCCCCGGATGCAGCCCCAGAACCAGAC